GGTAATGGGGATAAAATAGTGACCTCAAAGAGCCCATAAATAGCGGAAATAGCCACTCAGAGGACAGAACGCACTACACAGAATTAATCCCAGGTTGCTATGGTAGCTTTAAAATGCAATATTTCCTATACAATTGAAATCATCCCTAGCAACCTATGCCCTCTGAAATGTCCACAGGGGGTCTACATTCAGATTCAAACCAAACTTTCAATCTTCTCATTTCTGGTGGGAAGAGATTCAGGGAGCTAGTAGGTAATTGCTCTTTTTTCCTTTTCATCTACTGTCTTAGTAGAACTGATTATCTTCTCCAAAATTGGTGACAAAGACCAAGATGTCCCATCTTGGTAGGGACAAAATGCATGACATTTATTTATTTGTGGAAACTATGTTGAGATGGAAGAAATGAAATAATCACAATGGAATTTCTACTTCATTCTAATTAAGGGAAAGGTATTCACATAGCTACAAGACTCTAATGATCATAAATACTGTTTAGAATCATTTATATGTATATGATTATTCTTTATGTGTAGGATACTGTATTATATGATGAGGACACACCAAAGTAAGGAAGTCTTTGCTTCTGTTATCAAATGATACAGAGAACAATGACACTCTGTATGTACAGGTAGATGTTTACAATTATCAAAGTGCTTATCTCTGTATGTAGAAATCATCTTCAGCACCACCTTGGGACCTATGCAGAGCTCAGAAATACTAAATGACTTGCACAAAGCTTCACACACAGCAAATGGCAGACTTACATCCTGAACCCAGGATCTCTGATTTTTGAGCCTAGAGCTCCTTCTTATAGAGCACAGATTTCTAGACATTTTCTATTACAGACTCCTAGTCAATAAAAATATTCTGATGTGCCCAATGAGTATATTACTTACCTTAAACGATACATAAACGCATGCCTTCATATATGTGCTGTACTGTAGCTCGATGTACAACATATATTAGTGCAAACACAGTGAAAATTTTGGTCACAGCCATGCAGACAGAATTCCTTGCAATTTGGCGTTATAAACTGGAACTAGTTTCCAGACAGATCATTATAAATAAGATTTTCACTTCAATGAATGTCCCATGGGAGATTCAAAAGTCATGTGGAACACAGGACAAGTCCTTGTGTCAGACTGTATAGTGAATTTCTGGATAGCTGGCATTCTTGCCCCCTGCCCAACCACATGCCAGGAATGATCCTATCACTGTGATGACCACACACACACACACACACACACACACACACAATGTTCCCTAGAGGACTGTCTCCCTTCACTGAGACTGAGAACTAAGCTTTCATTCCTTGCACATGAAGAGTACCTGTAGGAAAAAAAACTTGTCAGCATATGTTCCCCAGGAACTCTTTGGGAAGTCCTTCTATAAACTAGACTGTAATCCCAGTGAAATGGGGACCATGTCTGCCTTATCCATCACTATAAACCCAAGCCCAGCACAGTTATCATCACACAAATAGCAAAGGCGCAATAAATATTGGTTAAGTGAGTAACAAAATGAGTGAGTTAATGCCTACACACCTCCCAAGGCAAATCCAGAAAGGCTGAGTTTAAAAAAGAAAAAGAGCAGCCATGTCATCCAGGGTCTCCCATGTGTTAGGAACTTTTCTAGCTCTCCACACTCACTACTTCATTTATGGAAAATATCTAAACTCAGTTAATGGTGGTCCCAACCTTCTACAAGAGTCCTCTCACCTCCAGTAATAGCAGCTCCCTCCCTCCCAGCAGGTGATTTTAGAACCTAAGACACTGGTTCAGAGCCAGTGAGGATACTTCTAAATGTGAATGCAGGCAGAGAGGGTCCCTCCAGTGCTTTCCGATTCATTCACTGTTTCCATGTTTCTCTGGGACTGAGGTAAGAGAAGGCAAGTACTGAAATGGAAGCTCAGGAAAAGCTGCCAACACCAATGGTGTTTTGCACCAATGCAAAAAGAACCCTTCCTTCCATGAATAAAGCAGAAGAAAAGTGCAGCAGAAACAGCTGTGCCAGAGAAAGATCAAGCCTTCTGGACAATGTCAAGGGTGTGGTGCACTGTGGAACTCCAGCAGGGAAGCCTTTTCAGAACTCTGCCAGGAAGAGGGAAGGGTTTGGAGCCCCTGAAAGTTTAACCCAATAGATCAAGTTCACTCATTTATTCAGAAAACACAATTGAACACCAAATGTCAGGCCATGTGCTGGGTCCTGCAAATAAAAAGCTAAATGAGTCAAAACTGTCCCCCATGATACATGCCACAATAGAAGTATGTGTCAGGGGCTGGAGATCATGGGCAAGCCAATGTTGGAATACGAATTATAATGGCTTATCAGGGAAGATTCACTGAAAGATGTGGCTCTTGGACTGAACCATGGAGAGCAGCACAAATTGAACGATTAAAAGGTGGGAAGTAAACTCTAAAACAAATATGGGCATAGCTACCAGTACTGCACAGAGGTACCCAGCTTCACAACTGTGATTCGTATAAAAAATCTCTATAGGGTACAGAATAGAGGACACAGAAACCAATCCACAAAACTACAACTATCTTATATTTGATAAAGGGGCTAAAAGCATGCAATGGAGGAAGGATAGCATCTTCAACAAATGGTGCTGGGAAAACTGGAAATGCATATGCAACAAAATGAAACTGAATCCCTTTCTCTCACCATGCACAAAAGTTAATTCAAAATGGATCAAGGAGCTTGATATCAAATCAGAGACACGCCGTCTGATAGAAGAAAAAGTTGGCTACGATCTACATTCGGTGGGGTCGGGCTCCAAATTCCTCAATAGGACACCCATAGCACAAAAGTTAATAACTAGAATCAACAAATGGGACTTACTCAAACTAAAAAGTTTTTTCTCAGCAAAAGAAACAATCAGAGAGGTAAATAGAGAGCCTACATCCTGGGAACAAATGTTTACTCCTCACACTTCAGATAGAGCCCTAATATCCAGAGTATACAAAGAACTCAAAAAATTAGACAATAAGAGAACAAACAACCCAATCAACAAATGGGCCAAGGACCTGAACAGACACTTCTCAGAGGAGGACATACAATCAATCAACAAGTACATGAAAAAATGCTCACCATCTCTAGCAGTCAGAGAAATGCAAATCAAAACCACCCTAAGATACCATCTCACTCCAGTTAGATTGGCAGCCATTATGAAGTCAAACAACAACAAGTGCTGGCGAGGATGTGGGGAAAAGGGTACACTTGTACACTGCTGGTGGGACTGCAGATTGGTGCAGCCAATTTGGAAAGCAGTATGGAGATTTCTTGGAAAGCTGGGAATGGAGCCACCATTTGACCCAGCTATTCCCCTTCTCGGTCTATTCCCTAAAGACCTAAAAAGAGCATGCTACAGGGACACTGCTACATCCATGTTCGTAGCAGCACAATTCACAATAGCAAGACTGTGGAACCAACCTAGATGCCCTTCAATAGACGAATGGATAAAAAAAATGTGGCATTTATACACAATGGAGTATTACTCTGCATTAAAAAATGACAAAATCATAGAATTTGCAGGGAAATGGATGGCATTAGAGCAGATTATGCTAAGTGAAGCTAGCCAATCCCTAAAACACAAATAAGTAAATAAAATAGAGGTATTTCGTGCAGAGCAGCACACCCCAGCAACTCACCCTCAACGTCGTTTTCTTTTAAAGGTCTTCTCCCACAAACGCGAAGAATGGAATCCTCAAGCCAGATGGAGCAAGTATTTGTTGAAAATCAGCGTAGAAGACTCGCAGTTCAACACACTGAGGATGGGTGGTCTTCTGCTCCGCCAGCGCCAGCTCCGGATCGGCCGGCGGCGGCTCCGGCGGCGGCTCCGGCGGCGGCGCCGGCTGCTCCGGCGGCGGCTCCGGCTGCTCCGGCGGCTGCTCCGGCGCCGCCGGCTGCTCCAGCGCCGGCTCCTCCGGCGGTGGCTCCGGCGGCTTCGGCTTCTGCTCCGCCGGCTTCGGCTTCTGCTCCGCCGGCTTCTTCTGCTCCGCCGGCTTCTTCTGCTCCGCCGGCTTCTTCTGCTCCGCTGGCTTCAGTTATCTTCTGCGAAGAGTGGCTGGCAAGAGGTCTTATATAGCCCTTGGGTCACTGTGATTGGCTCAAAGTTATGCTAATTAGGGTTTGAAAAATGTACCAATGCTATTGGTCCAGACTTTGTCCAATCAGGTTTGGAAATGATCTAATGCTATTGGTCAATTCTATATTCCCACCATTCATTCATGTCTGCCCCACTTCCATTTTCTCAATGGAGGTTGAGTAGTGGGAAATTGAGGTTGTGGGGGGCTGGGGATTTGGCTCAAGCTGTAGCGAGCTTGCCTGGCATGCGTGCGGCCTGGGTTCGATCCTCAGCACCACATACAAACAAAGATGTTGTGTCTGCCAAAAACTGAAAAATAAATATTGAAATTTAAAAAAATAAATAAATAAATAGAAACGTTCTTTAAAAAAAAAAAAGAAATTGAGGTTGTGGACCCAGCTGCAGTGATGCATGGCATGGGCTTCTGCAGCAGGCCTCCCTGCTGTGCCAAGGCCTGGCTGCTGCAGATGACAGGTCTGACAGGTCAGGGAGCCTTGACTCCCTAGGCACTGGCTCCAGGCAGCGGCAGGGCCGCTGGAACTCTCACCCACCCAGGCCAACACCCCACCTCTCTTGCTTCTTGGCAGGGATTAGTAGACAGGCTGTCCTTGCTTTTTAAATTCTCCTCCCCTCTCCCACCTTTCTTCCTCTCCTCTCCTTTCTAATAAATAAATAAATACATAAATAAATAAATAAATAAATAAATAAATAAATGGAAGATATTTTAAAAAAAGAAAGGAAGAAAGAAAATACTTATCCGTTTATTACCAATGGGCTATTTTGTTTGAAGGAGGCTTCCCCTGTCATTCATATATATATATATATATATATATATATATATATATATATATATTTCAGTTATAGGTGGAAACAATACCTTTATGTTATTTTTATGTGGTGCTGAGGATTGAACCCTAGTGCCTCTTGCATGCTCGGCAAGCACTCTACCTCTGAGCCACAACCCCAGCCTTTTCCCTGTCATCTTTACCATTTTTATTTTTGATGGCTGAGAGGTCCAGATTATTTTTCTAATTTTTTTCATTCTCCTTTCTAAATATTTTGGATCAAGTCATCTCGCTGTTCTAGGAAATTATAATTGAGACAAATGATCAGGCGATCTCTGTATCACCTTCAAAGTGATTCATCATAAGTCCAAAGAGGATGCTCAGTTTGAACAGCAGAAGGGCCCACAAGGTATAAAGTGTTAGGAAAATATAAATCATCCTCCAAACCTTAGCAAACTGAGGTCTCTGTTAGAGTTTGAGTCAAAATTATTGTGATATCTCTCCAGATTACCTCAAGGCCTGAGTTTGAATCCCTCTCTATATTTATCAGGGTCATCAGCAAATCTTCCTAAATCCTGTTGGGCCTGTTTTAGATCTTGCATAGAAAAAGGTACCTGCATTCTTACCAGTCAATATTCTCCATTTTCCTCTTGTAATGTGTATAAACTGGTAGTAGGCTAAATAGGGACAGACTCATGATGAGGGAAATAGGGTTGCAGGAATGGGAGCAGGTAATGGTGGGTACAGAGGACAGTGGGAGAATTTGATATTGGAAGATGAGTGTTAGGTACATTGTTGAGAGGAAGGAAGGTGTGGTTTGGGGGTCCCTAGGCTAGTAATGTTTTGACTCATTGAACTAGAAAGGCCTCATCAGAGTAGGATGGGCATGATATTGAAAAGTGGGGGAGGGGACCAAGAGTTTTTGTGTCACTCTATTGGAAACATAGATAGTCCAAAAATAACAACAGGATTACTGACACAGAAAAGAGCAAGAATCATTGTATTCCTTGGCTTTCCTTTGGAATAATAAATGTGAGGGGACATTGGGTCCATGCAAAGGCACTATAGAATAAGGACCATAAATACCACTTTGGTGAAGAAAAGATACCAACTGAGAATATATTTCTTAGCTATGAGGGATCTTCAACTAGTGCCCCATGAGAAGATTTGTAAGTAGATAAAGGTGGTTAACTCATTGCCCTCCAGATTCTGGAAGTAACCTATAAAAATGGTGGTGTGATGCCCATTACTGAAGAGAGACAGGGGGACACCATAAGGCAACAGCCATAACAGTGGAGCCTCATTGCCTCTCTGATGGCCTTGCTCAAAAGAATGCCACAAAAAGCAAGAGAAAGTGTACATCTATATGTCAGCAGGAAAAAAAAATGTCACTGTTATTAAGAGGAAAAAAAAGATGAACAGTGACAACATAACTGACATTAGATAAAGCATGGGTGTGACATATGGAAGAGATTTCAGCAGAGGAAAGTGTAGGCAGAGAAACTAAAGCAAACTGTAAGATATCAGAGGCTAAGTTAGACATAATCTCAACCAAAGCTGGGAGAGGAATAAGGTGAAGTTTAAATTCCTTCCTGTAGATGGCTGTCAATCGGATTCAAGGCACTTGATTAGATGTCACTGGAGAGTGGGGAGTTGAAACTCCAAACCTCAGGTCTTGTGTTCCAAAGAAAGAAAATTTGAAGTCAGAAACCAAAGATAATGCAAGATAACTTTTTTCTTAAAGTAAAAATAAAGTAAGGCTCAAACAAAGAGCATTCTTCAAACAGTGGTTCACTCCCAGCAGAGAACAATGAAGGAAAAAGTCCTGTCTCCAAATTCATTGGTATTTTATGGTTGCCCTGAGAACTGGGTCCACATTCACCACTTTTTGACAATCAGGTGTTCAACTCCTTCATGTCAAGGGGTAGAGTTTTTACTTAGTTGTTCTTCTCCAGAACTGTCATATTGGCCATCATATTAAGTGGGGGTCTTAATTTACAAGTAAATACTATGTTACTGTGAGTATTGGGGTCAATGACCAGAAAGAACTTAACTTTTTTCTCCTGTAATGCTAAGAAAATGTCTCTTCTGAAATTTATTGAGACACTTATGACCATAAATTCTAGCTTCACAATGACCCCAAATGACCCTGACAAGAGTTAGTAATAGCCCCATTAATCTTTCTTGGTGTAATTCTTAATTGACTCTCTTTTTTCTGATTATTTGTGTACCTGTTGTTTTTCTGCATTATCTGCCTACCCACTTGCCTTAAAAGTAATTTAAAGAAAGCCTTAAGAGCAACATAAAGAAAACCCATGACATTGGCTGTTATTTGTTTGCATTTCAGTGCTCACTACTAACTTCGATCTAACATCTCTCACCCACTGAGAGAACTGACAATGGCCTTCTTTGGTTTGGCAGGTAGAGGTCAGAGGAGGGTCCCTTTGCCTTGGAGCTGGAAGGCTGCATGGCAGATGAACAAAATCCTCCTGCCTTCCACAAAGACCATGAAGGAAAGCAGGTAAGAGGGTGGGGGTCAGTCACAGAGCTACCTTTGTCAGGATGTCCCTCCTCACACTGTACAGCAACCAGGCTTCCTAAAACTTGGTGAAGTTCTTCACTGATCTTGCACAGCCCCGTGGGCAGATTGGACACAAATCCTCACAGAGAAGAAATTCAAGCAGAGCACAGCTGTCCAAGTGGCCCAAACATAAGCACTAAGCGGGTTGGAATTCAGGTCCCACCACCCTCGTTCAGGGCTCATATCTTTTAGGTGGCAAAGAGCCAGGCACACATAGAGATGTGGTTTCACCAGACTGAGGTTCTGATGGAGTTGGTGTCTGGTGCAAAACTTTAATTCAACTGTTAGCTCTAAAAACAGGAAAGCATATGTTCTAATCAATAAAATTTTCCCTGTTTTTTTAAATTTTTTATTGTTGGTTGTTCAAAACATTACATATTTCTTGATATATCATATTTCACACTTTGATTCAAGTGGGTTATGAACTCCCATTTTTTACCCCATATACAGATTGCAGAATCACATCAGTTACACATCCATTGATTTACATATTGCCATACTAGTGTCTGTTGTGTTCTGCTGCCTTTCCTATCCTCTACTATCCCCCCTCCCCTCCCCTCCCCTCCCCTCTTCTCTTCTCTCTCTACCCACTCTACTGTCATTCATTTGTCCCCCTTGTATTATTTTCCCTTTCCCCTCACTTCCTCTTGTATGTACTTTTGTATAACCCTGAGGGTCTCCTTCCATTTCCATGCAATTTCCCTTCTCTCTCCCTTTCCCTCCCACCTCTCATCCCTGTTAAATGTTAATCTTCTTCTCCTGCTCTTCGTCCCTACTCTGTTCTTAGTTACTCTCCTTATATCAAAGAAGACATTTGGCATTTGTTCTTTAGGGATTGGCTAGCTTCACTTAGCATAATCTGCTCTAATGCCATCCATTTCCCTGCAAATGCTATGATTTTGTCATTTTTTAATGCAGAGTAATACTCCATTGTGTATAAATGCCACATTTTTTTTATCCATTCGTCTATTGAAGGGCATCTAGGTTGGTTCCACAGTCTTGCTATTGTGAACTGTGCTGCTATGAACATGGATGTAGCAGTGTCCCTGTAGCATGCTCTTTTTAGGTCTTCAGGGAATAGACCGAGAAGGGGAATAGCTGGGTCAAATGGTGGCTCCATTCCCAGCTTTCCAAGAAATCTCCATACTGCTTTCCAAATTGGCCGCACCAATTTGCAGTCCCACCAGCAATGTACAAGTGTACCCTTTTCCCCACATCCTCGCCAGCACTTGTTGTTGTTTGACTTCATAATGGCTGCCAATCTTACTGGAGTGAGATGGTATCTTAGGGTGGTTTTGATTTGCATTTCTCTGACAGCTAGAGATGGTGAGCATTTTTTCATGTACTTGTTGATTGACTGTATGTCCTCCTCTGAGAAGTGTCTGTTCAGGTCCTTGGCCCATTTGTTGATTGGGTTGTTTGTTATCTTATTGTCTAATTTTTTGAGATCTTTGTATACTCTGGATATTAGGGCTCTATCTGAAGTGTGAGGAGTAAACATTTGTTCCCAGGATGTAGGCTCCCTATTTACCTCTCTTATTGTTTTTTTTGCTGAGAAAAAACTTTTTAGTTTGAGTAAGTCCCATTTGTTGATTCTAGTTATTAACTTTTGTGCTATGGGTGTCCTATTGAGGAATTTGGAGCCCGACCCTACCGTATGTAGATCGTAGCCAACTTTTTCTTCTATCAGACGGCGTGTCTCTGATTTGATATCAAGCTCCTTGATCCATTTTGAATTAACTTTTGTGCATGGTGAGAGAAAGGGATTCAGTGTCATTTTGTTGCATATGGATTTCCAGTTTTCCCAGCACCATTTGTTGAAGATGCTATCCTTCCTCCATTGCATGCTTTTAGCCCCTTTATCAAATATAAGATAGTTGTAGTTTTGTGGATTGGTTTCTGTGTCCTCTATTCTGTACCATTGGTCCACCCGCCTGTTTTGGTACCAGTACCATGCTGTTTTTGTTACTATTGCTCTGTAGTATAGTTTGAAGTCTGGTATCGCTATACCGACTGATTCAAAATTTTCCCTGTTTGACAACATTATGGTACAAATCTCTGATGTTTTTTTCAGATTTAAAAATGTAATAATAAAATATAATATTATTACAGCATAATATTTAAAACAACACAAAATGCAAGCATGGCTTTAGATTTCTCACAAAACATATTTTCCCCCAGATTAAATTTTTTTTTCACATATATCATTTATATATCTTTATGGGGTATATTATTGCAACTCAATAGATGTATACAAGTTTTACCATGCAACTTTGATATTACATCCAGGAAGTCCCTATAATAAAACCTGAATTTAGTTTCATTGTGATGAATTACTTTTCCTAGAATTCATACTGTGACAGAGTCTGAGAGACTGTCTCTTCAGGCCCTTCAAGAATTAGGACATTCTAGCATTTCAAGCAGGAAAGATGAGTCTGGACACCTGAGGAATTTGGAGGAAGCAGATTTATTTAAGCTGCAGCAATCCAGAGGGTCTAACACCAAACAAGCTCTGGACCCCAGATCTGGAAATTCTCTAAGATTTCAGTGGGTGGTTACACAGCACAATGTTTAATATAACTTAATTTTTTTCCACATTCATAGGTTGGATAGAGGTTTCACAATTTTTTACAGAGAAAACAGAAATTTTCGCACATCAACAAACTTGATTGGAGACTTTTTTTAGGTTGTAGATGAGCACAATACCTTTATTTTTATGTGGTGCTGAGAATTGAACACCAGGCCTCACATGTGCTAGGCAAGTGCTCTATCACTGAGCCACAACCCCAGCCCTGCAGGCCTAACTCTTACAAGAAAGAGAAACCTGGCCTTTACAATAAAAAGGAGCTCAAAGCACAATGAGTGCTCTGGATATTTTGCTGACTTCTTAAAATTATCTCTTCTTGATTAGGAGAGAGACTTGTGTGTTACAATTAAGGTGGGAGTCTTTGGGGTGGGAGTCTTTTCTCTTCAGCCATGCCCACCTGCATATAGCTACTACCCAGTCACTCCATTCAAAATTGGATGTACTAATTAGGTTATAGCTCTCATAATCCAAATATTTTATCTCTGAACATTTCTGCATGAACAAGAGATTTTGGGGGACACTTCATACAGAAAACATAACATCTCCTATCTTGCTTTCTTCACTCACTGCTTGAGAACATATCCTCAGTACATAACTTCCCATCTCTGGTTCTGTTCACAGGAAACCTAAGATAGAATGTAGCTAGGAAGAAACAACAAATGCTGTAAGAAAATACCATGGATAGGGTTGATTAAACAAGAAAACTTACTTCTCATGGTTCCGGAAGCTGGCCTGGGTCTCACCCATCAGAAGACGGTTGATGCACTGCAGAGCTTTCTTCTTCTCCCAGTCTAGGTCCTCAGCAGCCACTGGACAGGCCACTAACAGAGGTGGTGGCAGCTTCAGAGGTTCCCCTCGGCGGCATTGCAGGAGAGGAAACTTGCGTTTCCGTGGCCTACTGGTGTCTCCTGTGGGTGAGGACTTCTTCTTGGGCAATGGGTGTCCCGCCCTGCCTTCTGCCACCTTCTCACCCTGGGCCTTCTTTGGGGGAATCCCTGGGGATGAAGAACATTCCAGGGGCGGCTCCCCCTTGGATGGGTCTGGAGCCCTCCTCTTCAGGGCTTGGAGACCTCGTGTGGAGCTGTAGGAGCTGCTGATGGGGTTTCTTTTGGGGCAGGAGCTCATGCAGATGGCCCGGGAGCTCTCAGCTCTGTCTTGGGAGCTCTGGGTGCAGAGGTTTCTCCACAGAGGCCCAGGCCTGGGCACAAAGGCAGGCACACCGCTATGGGCCCCCAGGGGCCTAAAAGCAGATGCTCTCCCAGTGACCTAAGGGCGCCCCCTCTGATGTTCTCTATCTACAGGGTGCTCTGCTTGCGCAGCCACCACTTGGCCACTGTCTCCAGGGGCTGTGATCACAGTCCTCCCTGGGCAGGGTTCTTGGGGTGCTGGAAGCTGGCAAGGAGCCACTTCCTGCCCCTGCACCCTACAAGGCGGCTGTCTGAGTCTGCGGCCTGGGATGCAGGAATTCATGAAAGCTGCAGTTGACAGCAGCGTCCTCCTCAGGAGACCTGGCATGCGGAGGGAGGAGGCAATATCCAAGTCTCCGAGAAAAGATCCAAGGGTCCGCAGGACCCTGGAAAAGCACCGAGCAGGCACTTTTCGCAACCGCTGAGGAGCAGTTGCAGGATGGCGGCAAGATGACCTGCAAGATGACCTGCGAGTGGTGCCACCAGCCCAGGAAGCCCTTAGTGGCCAACCAGTAGAGGGAAGTCGGCGAGGCCCATGACCGGGCTTCTTGTGGGACCCTTCTGGCAGGTCTCTGCCACTCAGCGCCGGGGGCAGGGGTGAGGGACAACACTTGCTGTGGGAAGTCTCCATGGCAGTCTTAGCGAAGGCGCTAGTGGGTAATTCTAGCGGCCATCGCAGAAGGCCTTCTTCGGCTGCTCACGCAGCTTCAGGCGAAATGGCTGTCAGACCTGTCGCCAGGGCGCGGCTGAGGAAGGAATGAGTGGAGAACAGGCGAGCGCGTGAGGGAAACCATCAATACTGGGCAAGAGGCAGGCTTGCGCCAGCAACGGACACGCGCCTGCAAATTCCGCGTGCGTATGCAAAGTCTGCATGCACGTGCAAAGTCCGCGTGCTTGCACCAGATGCAGAAGAAATAGGCAAGGGAACTGAGTGCCTGGTGCGTGCGTGGGTCCTGGGGGACTGTTGAGTGCTGACACTGGGATGTGATTCAGATCCCGCTGGTCCACCTCCTGACCCAGTGAGGTTTCCGGATCATCTCGGAAGGGTTGTAGATGCTGGGTTTGAGGGGTGGCAGCTATGGCAAGGCCAGGGATCTCTCCCCTCAGACTGGTGCAACGACCCTGCCCCTCCCCAGAGGCAGCCGGGATGGCAGCACAGATGGGCTGAACTCCGATGGACGTGGGGGCAGTCAGAGGGCTGAGCAGGCTCTTGCTGCAGGTTGAGGGTAGCTCTTGGGGCGTGGAGCACGTGCGGACTAGGGTGAGGCAAGGACACCTTGTCCTCCCTTGAAGGTGTGAGCTAGTGTTTGTATCTAGCGTTGCTATGGTGAGGGTGGGCGGGGCTTAGTTTGACAGCCAGGAGCTCTTGCAATGGCAAGAATCCCTCAGCCCATGGCCCCGCCCCTGAGCTGTCAGAGTTCTGTCTTCTGTCCTGCCTGGGCCTGGCCAGTCAGAAGGGGAACTGCTGGGGGGCAAGTTTCTTGGCTGAGCAGCATTTGCAGGTGGTGGCAGCTTTGGGATCATG